TTGTTTCCACACACATTCACGATAATGTTTTGATTTGTCATGTGTATGTTGCTGTGTTTAGTTATTCTGAATGGATCCGTGTACTGTAGTAGATATATGCAGTCAACAGGCGGTTGGTTTAGGTTTTTTTTTTGGCATCTCCATGTGGTCCTGTTCGGTATCGCAACTTGACTTCCCTCAAATGTAAAAAAAGCTCTTTGCTGTTGTACTGTACACATACTATAAAATTCTGATTTTATTTTTTTCTTTCATATGTGCTTATATGGGCTCCTTATATAGATTAAACATTTTAATCTATTGACAGTCCTAATATATATATATATATATATATACACATACATACATACACACACACACACACACAAGTATTAAATAAACTCTTTAGAAATTTGGCATTCAAACCAACTGCAGCCAATCAACAAGAACAAGAAAAAAAAGCATATAGTGCTTTATCGTGTCTGAATGATAGCTGTTGTTTTGACAGGAAGTTTGGCAGCTGCGCTACAGAAAAGTTGGATTGAGCGAACACCAAAGTAAACAGTCGTTGCTATGGAAATTATACAATGGTCTAGTAGCACTGGTATAAGCTGGCAGGTAACACTACACTACTACACCGACCGGATGCGAGCACATAGAACCTATTAAAAATAGGGTTGCAAAGGGGTGGAAAATTTCCGGAAACTTTCCAAACATCCCTGGAATATTCCAAAAAATCCTGGAAAGTTTCCAAAATTTCTGAAATATTTCCGACATTTACTGGAAATTTTCCACCTTTTTGCAACCCTAATTTCAACTACATTTTTTACAGTATTTCTTCCGTTTAAACATTTTGAATCTTCTCGAATACAACAAATGTTTTACGCTTTCTCTGATTGGAGACTTTTCTCTCCCATCATCCCAGAGGCTGGTTAACTAAAGGTTAATTTCCCACCCTGCTCTTGACTTTATCTACTTGCCAGAACGTTCTCCAGAAGGTCATGTCAACACCTTTTGTAAGCTTGTGTCAGAGTTATTATAGTTGACTAAAACTAAAACCATAAAAAGGTGTTACTTGAGATAAATAAATGTTTAAAATTATAAAATAAATATATTATATTTTATATATACACTACTGCTCAAAAGTTTGGGATCAGTAAGACTTGTAATGTTTTTTAAAGACGTCTCTTCTGCTCATCAAGGCTGCATTTATTTGATCAAAAATACAGAAAAAAACAGCACATAGAACCTATTAAAAATAGGGTTGCAAAGGGGTGGAAAATTTCCGGAAACTTTCCAAACATCCCTGGAATATTCCAAAAAATCCTGGAAAGTTTCCAAAATTTCTGAAATATTTCCGACATTAACTGGAAATTTTCCACCTTTTTGCAACCCTAATTAAAGGCCTAATCAGTGATTGATTCCGTCACTGAATACACGCTCAAAGTAAACGGATGCCGCATTGTATTTCTGACTCAATCCATGCACTTGCTCTACCACGCTACCTGGACAGATTTGGAATGTTCGCTTTGATGCATTCAGTGTAGAGACGGCGTTAGGACATGGCAAACCATTTTCTTTTGCAAGTTTCAGCTCATACATCTTTGGTGTAAACTCGTCTTAACCAAACACCCTAAAAGAACATCTCAGCACCCCCCTTTCAAAAATATTGCTTCCAGCGCCCCCCGATGCTATCTGAATGCTGCCCCCATTGAGAAACACTAATGTAGATGTTACCTAGCCTGAGACTTTTCCCAGCATGCTTTCACCCAGCTGGGCAAAAGGATGGGCTTCCCAAGGCTTGCGGCCACCAGGTATTTCTTACTCCCCACTTCACCTGCCACCAGGTGAGTAACAGAAACATTGAGATCACGGTAGACTCGTCCACCCATCAGCTGGACAAGATCCATCACTTCGCTCTACAAGAATGACAAAACAGCTGCTTATTTGTCGTGCAGAACTGCACATACAGATGTAACGTTTTGACTTGTTTCATTTCAATTGCACTTTATACATAATGTAAGCAAACGTGGAGAAAATAAACAATTATATATTAGACTTCATCATAAATGTTTTCTCCTGACCCGTGCCTCTTTGTCAAGGTTGGTGCAGGAGACGGTGACATCAGCCATGGCCATGCTGTACACAGGCTGCTCTGCTTTGGGCACACATCTCTGCTTCTGCAGACAGAACAGCACTACCAGAGGACTCACGATCCTGCATCCCAGCTGCAAATACGACAAACATACAGTTTTGTAAGATTATTAACATTGTAAGATTATTGACAGTAACAACATGTTACAAAGGATTTCTGTTTTAAATAAATGCTGTTAATTGAATTAAAATGTAATGTTCAGTCAAAACACAAGAGTTCATTAAAAAAAAAAAAACTGACGTTATACTAGGGGTGTGCGATATATATCGTCTGCGATAATATCGTAATTGTTGTATAAACGATATGCGATTTGACATTATCGAGTATTTTGCAAAAACCAAACAAAAACACATGCAGAGACTGCACACATACACTATGAGATGTAGGTCAGACTACTGCCGAGTGCATTTAGAGTTCACGCTTTCACTGCGTGATTTAGCCTATTAAAATACATGTAGAATTCCCCCAAAATTCAAGATAAGGGGGCAAATATGCCCATGTATGACTTTCATATCTTTTATTTTTATATAAGCTGATATAGTTAATATCACACAAAGAGTACAGTTTTTTTTTCTCCAAATATCAGTACGATTGCAAATGATATTGATTTTAATATTGAAGTTAATATTAATTGACTTACATTTTATACACAAGTTCCTGTTTTTGCTCTACTTCAACAACGAAAATAGTTCCAAACAAAGCCACAGCAGAACTGTTTTGCGTCTCTGAGAAAAAAAGGCGGTGATTCGTTACTGAATCAATCAGCCGTTTGAACGAATCGGTTGAATGAATGACTCAATGCCTCATTCATGCAGTGATATGCCGCCACCTACTGGTGATATTAGGTTTATATTTAAAATATATTTTCCCAGAATCATTTCAAATACCACTATTGAACGTTTTGTTTTTAAATCATCAAAACATTATTTATGAATTTGTAACTGCAGGTTAACTGCATTCATGTCCTGCATTAAACAGTCTGTGTGAATGCATCTAAATGCCACTTCAAATGCAGATTCTGTGCCACCTCTGCATTGCAAACACAAATTTTGTCGATACTGATTTCATTTGATTGGTAGCCCTATGTCTTACTATTTTAATTGATTGATTAAATGTAAGAATTTGACACAAAAGATGATGCATACATTTAATTAGGTTAGAAAGAAAATTGTCTTATAAAGGTAAAAATCAATGTAAACTTATTGGAAAAGTTCATTTCTGTTACTCTTACAAACTAACAACCTCACAGAATATTAGCACATTAACACGCTTACAACTACATGCCAAAATACCAGCACAATAACACGCTCAGCAAAATATTGTCTAATTATCGTTATAGGGCTGCCACTAACGACTATTTTTATTTTGATTAATCCATCAACTAATTTATCGATTAATCAGTTAATCTTAACGATTAATTTCCCACAAAAAATTCAAACCAAATGAAATCCAAATTTCTATGAAATCCTTTTTTTAAAGCAAAAGTAAAGTGCAACATAGAGTGCAAGAAGCAAGTGTCCATCTCATAGTCCAAATCACTGAAATCAAAGTTCAGTATTACAGTGCAAGAATGACAACATATCCATGTGTTCTAGTCTACTACTAATAAAATTATAATCAAAAAACACTTTTTAAAGGAGTATTTACCAGAAATGTTATTTACCAGAATTTATTTAGGAGAAAAATGTAAATGTGCAGTATTTCTGAAAAAAAAAAAAAAAAAAAAACTTTTCTTTTTTTAAAAAAATAAAATCAATTAATTGGAGATGCTTTTGATTATTAAAATTTAATGGAACCATTCAAATGGAATCCAGAAAATAATGGAAAACAGAATTGGGTAAAGATAAAACTGTAAAACTCAATTAATTAGACAGGCTTTTTGATTAATACAATTTAATTTAACCATTAAAACAGAGTATAGAAAAATTTAAATGGAAAAAAACTGAATTTGGAAATAAAACAGATTTCATTGGGCCCTATAATTATTAATTAAATTTTTTGTGGTAATAAAAATAGATGTAAGTGAACAATAGCCTTTAAAATTACTTAAAATACATATATAAAAGCAATGAGGCAATAATAATTAGTTCAAATAAAGTATCAAAAGCAAAAAATCAAATGGTTTTATTATATTGACCAAGCACCATTTAATTCAAATGTCCACAAATGATCTTTAATATTTGGCCATTTCTTTAGGACAGAAATGCTATAGCCACTGTAATTAAAAGAATATGTGGACATCAAAACGTGTAAACTCAAGGTTTGAGCTTTTATTTTGAAACCGCTATGTATTCTCCTGTGTTTGTGTAGATTTATAAATGATTTACCTTACAAATCTGATGAAATGGCGCTTGTTGCGTTCCCAGATGAACGTTATAATAAACCCAAACTCACAACAACATGCAGAGATGGAGTTTGAGACGCTTCATGCAGCCTTGGGAAACAGTCTAATAATGTGTTTTATGGATTCTCGTCCGTGAAATGCGCCAATTCCGGTATTTTGCCGGTTAGTCGATGCAAGCAAAATGGGCTTGGAAGGCAAAAAATATTTACCAAATCAGTAATGTTTAATTAGTGTTTCACTGATGACACATTTTAAGCATTTCTTTTGTGTACATGATAAGCTGTCAGCATGATTAAACATGTCAGCATGGTGGATATACTTCACCTTGACCAAAAATAACTCTAGAGTAGCAATATATAAAATCTGTTCAGCTAAAATAAAGGCAGCGTGTTTGCTGAAGAACTACGACTGGTTTATCACCTAAGAACACATCTCCTTTAAATTAAATTAAATTAAATTAAAGGGACTTTCTCTGTTTCCTGCTAAGTAAAAACTTTTAATTTTGGTGTTTCTGTAATGAATTCATTTTAGTCAAAAAAAATTATTTCTAAAGTTCATCACTAACTGGGATCATAAAACCCTACACATTTTATGTAAATATAAAGAATATGGAGTTATATTTTATTTGGATGGAATTGAATAAAAGTCCCCAACTACTTATCACTGCTAAAAGCAGATGATATGCAGTGTTGTAAATGAATCTTCACACAAACGCACCCTCCTGCAGTGCTTAAAGGCATTGCTGGTGAAGTCACTGAAAACAAACAGGGACTTGTCATTGTGGTCCAGCTCTAGTGTGGCTTCCTCATCCAGCGTCTGCACATATTTCTCTGACTGCAGTTCCACTATTGCCTGAAGATGAGCATATGATTATATGAGCAAAAGTAGTGATATTATGGTTAGTGATATTATAAGATATAAGGAGCAGTTAATGACAGATATACCACAGAATAACACATTATGATCACCTTATGGGCCTGGCGAGCCAGATCACTCTTCTGTCCATTGCGTTCAACAAATTTCACAACATATGCATCCTTGTTGCCTTTTGACATGGTGACATATAATCTACATCATGTGGAAACAAACAAAGGATTTAATACTGTCATTAAGAAACATGTAAACATCTGCTAATGATAATTAGTATCCTGTTGTCTCACGGTGTTATTCTGTAATATACTACTATTCGGTAGTGCAAAGTAAACAGCAAATTAATACAAAAATCAAACAAAAACTGGATGCTATTTAGGACTGAGAGACTAATAATGAACAATCTACTTTTCATTGCAGGTTGTTTTGATAATCTCATAAACAAGGCCAACAAGATATCAAAGAGTGTCAAACTGTTGCACAGCTCTAAAAGCAAGTCATTTATTGTGTGTGTGTGTGTGTGTTTTAATTAACATAAAACAACCTAAACAAACACTCATAATAACAAATGAAGACTTACCGCGAGACAGAAGCAAAGTCTTGCGCTGCTGCGCGGTGATTACGATTAAAACTAATTTCTAAAAGACTTTGATCTCATTTCTCCTTTGTTTTTTTTTTGTTTTTTTCACTTCTGACACACATAGAAACAACTCTTGTATAAGACAGCAGGATAATTCATTTGCTAATCTGTCAGTATTTTATTTAGAAAACCTATGTGTGTGAAGCCGTGTTCCAGTCATTCGCGCCATTAGCTCTGAAAATAACTTCCGCTTCACTTCTGTTTCCTCCAAGTAGATATAACCATAGACATAATAAATACTATTTACGAATAGTATTTATTATGTCTATGCGCAGTACTTTGAAAGAAAGGACATCTTTGGCGAAATGCGAGAATATTAAAATATATGACCGCCACCCACCGGACTGGAGGAGTGTAGTGTCATAAATGAAAGAAATTATGGTTAAAAATCCAACTATTATTTTTACTCTATGTATTTTTGGAAGTGAGAGGAAAACACTTATTTCCCAAATACAAAGAAAATATACAAATACATTTTTTTTTATTCTGCTACATATTCATTCTAGCGACGTGCGATTCGTAAGGGAGTTGTTCTTCTGAATCGAGTCTTTTCAATTAATTGATTTAACCGGCTCACAAAACTAATTTGTTCACATGCAAAAATACTTAGTATTGTAAATAAATTGTAGTATTGTTAAATATAAATTGTATTTAGGCTCTAAACGGCAATGAGTCATGGCTCTAACAAATTCAACTTGGAAAATGGTCGAACTAAACGCAATAAACAGTAGTACGTTATGTGTTTACATGTGGTGAGTTTTTTTTTTTTTGACCAGTTCAATTAAAAGAACGAATCGATTAGCGGGAATCATTCATTGAGGGAACTTTCGTTTCTGTGAACTTTGTGTTTCACTCCGGGCTAATATCTAGACACACTCATCGCCAGCTGATTTCTAATCCTGATTGCACAATAGCACAGTAGGTGGCGATATGCGCAAAGATTGCAACTCGCCATAAAACTAAGAAGAAGAAGAAGAAGAAGAAGAAGCTGATTTCTAACCGTGCGGACGTGTACATTAATTTTAACCGTTGGCGTGCTTTATTTTTCTCATCGGATCATATCAACTCTTGTTTATTATAATATAGGATTTTTAAGGGAAAAAATGGCAACCGTTGAGGAACTGAAGCTGCGAATCCGTGAGTTAGAAAATGAACTAATTAAATCTAAACAGAAGCAAAGTGATGCTGAACATCATCTCAGACCAAAGATTGTTAAAATGAGTGCTGAAGTCGTAGACTCAAATCCATACAGGTGAGCAATTTGATGCTGCTATGTTTATTTATTATCACTGAACATATGATGGTAGGCTAAACCCGGTGCGGCAGTCACTTTAATTTTGTGTTTAATATCTCACAGTCGTCTAATGGCACTCAAAAGGATGGGCATAGTTCAAGACTACGAGGTAAACATGTGTATTTATTATTTTATGAGACTTTTATATTGATAACTGCTTGCTCGTGTTCAGATGACCACTATCCCCTGCTGTCATTCTCAGAAAATCCGCTCGTATGCTGTGGCAGTGGTGGGAGTTGGAGGTGTGGGGAGTGTCACTGCAGAAATGCTCACCAGATGTGGCATTGGTAAGGTAATGCACCTTTATCCTCATTCCTATAGATCTAATATATAGGACGCATGAATCAAATGGAAGGATGCACTGACTGGCCGGTTTATGGTGTGCCTTCTTAATGTTTTTCAGTTAAAATTGGTGCATTCTTCAAGCCCCATTATTCTTGTAGTGTGTGTTGCAAGTTGGAGTACAGGAGGGAAGCCAATAGCATAACCCCCAGTAACAGACTGTCATGCCTCTTTTGCTGTGTCTGGCTTTCTTCCCCGCAGTTGCTGCTGTTTGACTATGATAAGGTGGAGCTGGCCAACATGAACCGCCTCTTCTTCCAGCCACATCAGGCAGGGCTCAGTAAAGTTGAGGCTGCAGAGCACACTCTTAGGTAAGCTGGAGGCTACAGTCAAGACATTTATAGTGTTTCAAAAATTTAAATATATGCGATTCAAATGTTTTTTTTTTAACTTTCTATTCATAAGGTTTCAAAATATTAAGCAGTTTAGTCGTTTTCAACATTAATAATAATAAAAAATGTTTCTTGAGTATCAAATCAGCATGAGATATTGCTGTTTCAGAATTCTTAGTCAAACTTGTATTTAACAACTAGATTAAAGGGTTAGTTCGCCCCAAAATGAAAATTAGGCTGCGTTTTACTCACCCCCGATGCATCCTAGGTGTATATGACTTTCTTCTTTCAGTGTGAGGCTTATCAAACTTATTTGTTCTGTTTTTTTTTTTTATGGAAATCCACCCCAGCTATCTCTGTTTTTATTTCATTTCATTTTAACAAACTGTAATGTGGATTAAAAATTAAAATTATCTCGTATTCGATCCTCTCTCAGACAGCAGGATGCTGAAACTGTTATACATGCCTTTGTCATATCTCAGCTAGATTACTGTAACTCACTTCTTTATGGCCTTTCAGCTAAAAATATCAAACGATTACAATATGTTCAAAACTCTGCAGCCCGCTTGATCATTCATTCAAGAAAAGAACGAGCACATTTCTCCAATCCTCTATCACATTGGTTTCCGGTTTCCTTGCGTATAAATGGTGGTAAAAAGGTACTAATTCTCACTTACAAAGTTCTCCATAACCTTGGTCCTGCATATTTATCTGACTTACTTCAGCCTTATGCTACTGTTTGCTTCTTATGATTTTGTGTGGGATTGTTAGTCACCCTTAAGTTTAGTCTGGTGACTGGGAGCCAGGTCTTTCAGTGTTGTGGCTCTCAGGTTGTGGAATGCTCTTCCTCAAGACATCCGTCAAACATCCTCACTTCTCTCCTTCAAAAACCTTTTAAAAACATGTTTTTCCTCTGAATATTACTCTTCAGTTCATATTACTCTTCGGTCCATAAATTGTACCTTGTTATGGATATGTTATTTATTTGAATCCCTCTTTGTTGTATTTAACCTAACTTTGTAAGCGACCTCTGTATATTACTTACAGCCCTTGTGTATTGTGCTTTGATGTTGATGTTTATTTGGCTCTGTTCCTTATTTGGCTCTGTAAAGCGACCTTGGGTGTTGGAAAGGCACTATATAAATAATAAAAAAATAAATAAAAGGTTATTTTCCAGCATTTTAGCTGATATTTCCCATTTTGATTCTTTGTTTTCCTTCATAGGAACATTAATCCAGACGTTGCTTTTGAGACCCACAATTACAACATCACCACAATGGACAACTTCACACATTTCATGGACCGCATTAGGTGATTTTTTTTTTACTGCCACAGTAAGCTCAAAGTTTTCCATCTCATTTTCAATTTGGCTGTAATAAACAAACTTGCTTTTGTGTTTTCAGTCACGGAGGACTTGAGGAGGGGAAGCCTGTAGATTTGGTCCTCAGCTGTGTTGATAACTTTGAGGCTCGGATGGCCATTAATACAGTAAGTTTTTGGCATTAAACTGTAAGAATTAATTTGAATATATATACATATATTTTAAATATTTTTTTAAGAGTGGTTTTCACACATAGTCACTGCAGTTTAGCAATTACGTACATGTTTGTTTCTCTCTCATAGGCATGTAATGAGTTGGGTCAGATCTGGATGGAGTCAGGCGTCAGTGAGAATGCCGTTTCTGGACACATCCAGCTCATCATCCCTGGAGAAACTGCCTGTTTTGCTGTATGACACACTCACACTCCCAAAACACATACTGTGTGTCTTGAATATGAATTATGAACTTAAAAAGCATTTCATATGGTTGTACCCTCTTCTACTATCTAGTTTCTGTGTCATAAACCAGCTTTATAAACGGGTGCACATAAGTGGTACGCAGGTGCGCATGCGCAACCAAAATAGAAATTGCGCTGTGCAAATAAGTTCAGACCGCTCATTTGCATACCCACATGATTGACAGCTGTTAAAGGGGTCATATGATGCGATTTCAAGTTTTCCTTTCTCTTTGGTAATGCACAATTACAATTTTAGATCAACAAACTGTAATATTGTATAAGTCGCTACCTGATTGCCTAATACTAACCCCTCCCCCACACCTAACCCTAAACCTACCAATACTAGTGGGGTAATAATCTGGCGGGAGGGTCATAATTGGGCACAACACTGGCAACACGCCAAAATAAAAGCTTGCTGATTTTAAGTTTGAAAATGATGAGAATTCACATTTAAAAAAAAGTAAATATTAGCATTTTATTGTTAAGTTTACTATAAAATAATTGTATTTTTATTACATATTCCCTTTTTATTTTTAAATATACAGTGGGTACGGAAAGTATTCAGACCCCCTTAAATTTTTCACTCTGTTATATTGCAGCCATTTGCTGAATACTTTCCGTACCCACTGTATAATAGTAAATAAATATAATAGTATTTCAATATAATAGTAACACTTTATTTTGTTTATAAAAAAAATAAAGTGCAATAATATTATTATCACTATTATTCTTTTTTTAATAGTTATATTTAATGGCTCACACTATGTGCAGTGTGAGGACCAAACCAAATCTCCAGGTGCTCTTTTGAGAAACAGGCTGAAAAACTTATGTGCACCGTTTATAAAACATTGGTTATTTCTGTCAAATCTCAGATGGGTGGGAAACAGTGATCTGATCCAGTTGTGTGTGTGTGTGTCAGTGTGCACCTCCCCTCATAGTGGCTGCAAATATCGACGAGAAGACGTTGAAGAGGGACGGAGTGTGTGCCGCCAGTCTGCCCACCACAATGGGAGTGGTCGCCGGGCTCCTTGTACAGAATGTCCTGAAGTAAGACCTCATCACTATCCTGATGATTCAGCACAGGCCTAACCATGCTGTTTTTATCCCTATAAAGCCTACTGTATCATATTTGATACGCAAATTTCCAAGGTCTCTAAATCAACATGACAAGCTTTGCTGAAAAACTCGTGTTCACAGTCTATTACATGACTTTTTTCATTTGATTGATAGTTTATACTTTTTAGCAATTAAAAGGCCTTTTAGAATAATTCTAAAGCATCCCACTTAAGGTTGTGGTTCATGTCATTTTGCCGTGAAATCTTTAATGATTTATGTTAAGTGAACATAAGAATAACTTTTACATTTTTAGCAATTTTTCAACACGAACACGTAGTGGACTGAAGCAACTTGGGTTTACTTGATTATCCATACATAATTTGTTAGGGGAAAAAAAATCATACATTTCATTTTGTATACTTTTGCTCACTTTGGGCCTCTGAATAAAATTGAGGTGTTTTTTTTCTTCCTCGAGTATGAGCACCATATTCTCACTATATTGTACTACACTTTCTTACAAATTATTATGCAAGTGACATATCGATTTGTCAAACAAATTAATTGAATCAAATGGGCAGCTATAATAATAAGCCACTCTTGAGCAGCAAACAGGTATTTGATCTATTTAAACTATTTAAAAATTAGTTTTCATGTAATTCTACACCCATTGTAAAGGTTTCTGTTTGTGAGGTTTGGTTAGGGTGCCTGAAATGCAGCTTTATGCACAACTGCCAGCCTGCATGAAATGCTCTTTGAACTCCAGAGACACCAGCAGCTTCAAATACCTGTTTGCTGCTCAACAGTTTGTTTGTTTTTATTAACTGCCCTTTTAATACAGATAATGTGTTTGACAGAAACTTTCCTTAATAAGCCTTTATCTGACCAAATTCTTCTGTGCTCCAAATCACTCACAAATCTTTTGAAAATGTGTTAATCTCTATTCGTTTTTTGGAAAATATTAGCATATTGCATGAGAACTGTCACTTGCTTAATAAGGTAGAACAACCTCTTTAAGTAGGTTTTCCATTTACCTAAGAAGTTATCTAATGAGATATGAGAAATAAAATAAAAACGCTTGAAAAACTAAAATCTGTATGTTTATTTTACTGAAATCCTACTGCTATGTCACTTGCATAAACATTTGAACATAAACATTTTTTAAAGTGTTCCATTAAAAAAAAAAAACGACTTACTATTATTTCATATATCGGGCTTTACAGGGATAAGTTTACACCATTACCACAGGCTGTGATGTATCCTATTTCAGTTTAGCTATACTGAATACTTTGTGCAGTGGATAGTAAATGCTGTAGTATCACACAAATGCCATTAGATGGCAAAATAAAGCCATTTTTGTAACTGAACCAACTTGAACCATTCTAACTAATCAGCCAAACCCATCACCCCTTGGTCATTTCACATCCTCCGAGGTCTTGGCCTGTCAGTAGTTTTCTGAAGGACATTAAAACACATGGTGTGGAATGAAATTATCTGTGTTGTAGGTATCTGTTGGGGTTTGGGACAGTGAGTTATTACCTGGGCTATAATGCCATGCAGGATTTCTTCCCGAGCATGGCAATGAAGGCCAACCCACAGTGTGATGACAGACACTGCAGACGACAACAGGACGAGTACAAGGTGACACTCCTACAAATGCAAATATTAAAACATTTCATTTTTATCTGAATTTTTAAACCTTGATAGTTTAATCAAAGAGTGATTTATTGATTAATAATTACATATTATTTAACCACAACATTGTTAAATTCTTAATTCTGGACGTTTTTTCCTTGATTCTGTTAACTTGTTTTTGTAAAAAAAAAAAAAAAATGTATTATTTTTAAGTTTATATTAAATTTTAGTTTATTTTTTATTCATTTTCTGCAACTGCATGTCTTTGAAGTAGTTTCAGGTTTGTTGAACATGACTTATTTTTTTAAATTGTTTAAAAAAATTCCAAAATATAAACACCGACTGTTTCTAAGCAAGTTATTTGGTCGCTGATGTAAACAAAGGCATATAGTGTGACAAAAACCAGTAAAGTATTAATACTAACAGTATATAATCTCTTATTCCTTTCTTACTTCAGAAAAAAGAAGCAGAGCGGCCGAAGCAGGAAGTAGTACAGGAAGAAGAAGAAGTAGTGGTGCATGAGGACAATGAATGGGGTTGGCATCCCACACACATCAGATTCCTCATTCATAAAACAGAAATCTGTAAGTGTTATGTAAGTTTGACGTTGATGTTGTTTTCTGCCAGGCATTGAGTTGGTGTCAGAGGTGTCAGAGGCAGAGCTACAGGACGCATCAGGACCGGTGCCAGATCTACCGGAGGGCATTACTGTAGCCTACACCATACCTGAGAAAGTACGACCCACTGAAATATAACACAACACTTTGGTTATTCAGAATTTTCCTGCATTATTAAAAAATTTGACAGGCAGTGAGGTTACATTTTATAATATTTGATGTGATTTTTGGTTTAGGTCGGATGCTTATATGATCAATGAAAACATAAAATGCAGTTACCTGACAAATAATTAAAACTAACGTTCAAAAGTTTGTGGTCAGTAAACTTTTTATACAGCAAGAATACGTTAAATTGATCAAAATTGACAGTAAAGACATTTAAGTTACAAAGGAATTTTATTTCAAATAAATGCTGTTGTTTTGAACTTTCTAATTCTCAAAGAATATGAAGCAGCACATCTGTCTTCAACACTGATGATAAGAAGAAATGTTTACGGAGCACTAAATCAGCATATTAGAATGATTTCTGAAGGATCGTGTGACACTAAAGACTGGAGTTATGACTGCTGAAAATTCAGCTTTTCCTCACAGGAATAAATGACATTATTAAATGGAACAGTTATTTTAAATTGTAATAATATTTGACAATAAATGCAGCCTTGGTAATCATTACTCTCTCTTGACTACCATGAATGTGTAATACTCCATGTGTTCTTTCTCTTTGCCAGGATGGAGGATCAGGGGAGACGGTGGAGGAAACAGACCAGAGTTTAGAAGAGCTGATGGCTCAGATGAAGAAGATGTAAGGAAACAACAAGCAAGAGGAAAATGACATCCTTGAACTCTCCCAGAGACACTAAAGACAAACTCGTTATTATTTTGTACTTATGCACATGTAACATCGGAGGTCTCATATTAAATGAGTTTGGATTTAGTTTTTTATTCTGTTTTTGCAAGCAGCCTGTAACACTCAAGATGTTTACAGGTTTACTTCAACTGAAAGTCTTAATACTGAATTGCCATCACTGTTGATCTTTTGTTTTCAGTGTTAATGTTTCAGAGTTGGCATGGAATGGTTAAAAGAACTAATCTCAATGATTGATTTAAATAGCTGTTGTTAACAGCTATGCAACGAAAACAGATAAGACTTCAGTCACACCTCTAAATATGTAATTGTCATGTCTAATAATGAATGTGCTTGTAGACACCCAGCCAGATGTTATAAAGAACATCACTAAATTATTTTCTGACATTTCATCATCGGCCTGATTCTGACTGCTGTATTGAATGGGATAACATTGTAATAATGCAAAAGAAAAAATAAATTTATTGTTACATTCCATTTTGCTTTTCCTGCATTTAAACTAGTAGATCAATGGAAAGAAGCCTTAGTGAGAGTTGTGAGATCTGTTTTCCTCTGCATTGAGTAAAAACCTCTACAACTGTTATTTTCATTCAATTGTGCATTTATTGGTAGATAATACACGATATTATTTTGTGCATGGATCATGTGCATTAGAATAATTTGGGTATAAAATACACCTCTTGGCAGTGAATAAAACGTCTCTAAGTCCTGGCACAAATTGTAAGACACCAATGTGATGCATAATGGAAGTTTAGAGTAAATTATTAAATATATAGCATGTTTTACCAGAATCCAATAGTTCAAAGATGATTTTGCTACAAAATGAGGCACATTAGACTGATTTCATTAAGTATTGATTCTTTAAGTATTTTTTAATAAAAAAAAATCAACAGCAGTACCATTTCTAAACACAAAAATATGGTTCATAATATCATATGGATCTATTATAGATGCACTTTTCAGATGAACAGTCATTGTATAAACTAAACTACATATATTGACACTGTCATAATGCAGTACAAAAAGCATAATTATTGCACATGCTGTGTTCTGTGGTGTTGAACCATTTAATGCTCCCTCTCAAAAATGTGAGACCATATAAAATAAAATACTGAATACAATAAAATCACTAATTTTATTGATTACCTTTATCTTGATATGTTATAATGTTTTGTACGGCTATGTATGACAGCTGCCCTTTAGTACTGCTGTGCAATTTACAAAAGTTCTGCATTTTAAAGTGATGGTGAAGGTTACTTTGCATGACAGGAAGCAGGTCATAGACCAGAGGAAGGAGCTGAGACTCTGGATCACTGTAGATTCATTTTACATGTTTACAGGAAGGTATTTAGTAATTGTATTGCAACTCTAAAATGATGCGAACTTCCATTATGCTTGACTTTGTCTTTAGTTGCACTCAGAGTAATTTGCATATGCTGAAGGCAGCAGTGATAGAAACCTGAAAAAAAATGTGCTGAAATTGGTCACACATAAGCTTTTCGGGATCTCAGTTCACATGCAATGTGATTATATTTGTTTCCAAAAAGTTTTTGTACCATGCAAGTGAAAAGTGCTTTGGAAGAGACTAATACTGACTAATATTAGTATATGCTAATATATACTAATACTTTGTATAAACTACAAAGGTAATTCTATTTCTTCAACCAACATGTTGAACTTTAACAGTTATTTGACTTGTACTCAAGTTTATAATAAAAAAGTATGCCATAGTGATAATTGGAGGAGAAAACTATTCAAATGTATATTAATATCGAGAGAAAATGTAAATAATATTTTCCATTGCATGAACAATCAATAGCTAATAAGGCCTTTTGCCATATGAGAGAAGAAAAAAAATTATTGCGCCACTATTTCTTGCAGTTGCAACTTTCGTAACTGTGGCTTCATATCTTGTTATTGTGATGCTATTTTCACACTGTTGCCATCTTCATATTTCGCTATTGCAAATTTATGTATCATATTTGTAACACAGCTTCACATCTCATTATTACATTGTTATTTCTCCAAATTACTTCATATTTTATAGCAACATTATTTATTGCAATTGCAACTTCATATATTTGCAACTTCATATCCCGTGACTTAAGTGTTATTTCTCATAATTTCTCAATTGCAACCTTATTTTTTATACAGTAATTTAGACTTTATTTCTTGCAGTTGTGACCTCATATCTCGTAATTGTGACATCTCACAACTGCAACATAGTATCTTGTGACTTTATATCTCCAAAATGTATTTAAACTTCTCTCAGTTATCTTTTTTTTGTAATTCTGAGGTGGCCCTCCACAAATAAAACTATTCTGGTCATAGTGACTTTACTACACCTCACAGTTTAACAGCAGTGCATTAGAAATGTCATTGGTATGCTGATGATATGGAGTGCGGTTTCAACAGTTATTGAAAATCACAGGAATAAAACACTTTCTCCGGTTTTCCGTCAGAGAGCACCTTTTATAAACCCAGTGGCAATGAATGATACATTAAAACACTGATGATTTATACTGTAAATTACAGTAGGAATGAGAACCAAGTTGGATCCCAATGTTTTCTTACCATGCATCTTTGATTGCTCCATGTAGACTTCAAGCACATGCCTGAACACAGCAAGTGTGGCCAATATGGCTTTATTATTAGAGGTAAGAGTTCAGCTTAGTTAAGTGTTGAGGGGTCAGGTGTCACCTTGAGGCATGAGGCAGGGCGGGGCTTCGCAGGCTAAAGGTGTCGCCGCTGGATGAGTGACGTGAGGGGGCCTTACCACACACCAGAGACGGCTCAGCCTCCTTTATTTCCATTGCTCGCTTGTACAGTTCAGCGGCCTTCTCGAAATCTCCCTCTTCGTAGCTGAGAAAGTAAGAGAGTGGTTGCCATGTTGGTGCTACGAGGTTGCTAGGGTTTTCTGGATGGTTGCTATGTAGTTACTATGTGGTCCAAATTCAAAAAAATTCTGGTTTCTAGATATGGTAAATCACTTTTCCTCTATTATTTACATTAAGATACAATATTTACAAATTGTAATAAAATGTTTCCAAGGGGCAGCATGTATAATCAAAACAGCAGGGGGCCTAATACAGATCCTTGAGGCACTCCATATTTGACTGCTGTAAATATTTGTCTTTTTGCGAAGATTTCAGATGACGACAACATTTGTGAAGACTCCAAATGATGCCAACTTTGGATTAACACAAAACTGTCAAATCTTTTCCTTACAGTGTAATAGTATCCTTATATAGTAATCATTTTGCGCTGTCACACAGTTCTGTGTGAATGGCCCCTAACACATTTGTTGAATGTGCCATGAATTTAATCTAAATCTAACCAGTACAGCTGAGCTAATAAAACATGGCTAACCTGAGTACTGCCAGGTTTTTCAGAGTCTCTCCAACACGAGGGTGCAGTCGGCCGAGACTGTCCTCATATACCTTTAGAGCGCGCTCGTACAAAGGCAATGCATCACTGTGCTGCTTCTGCAACACAAACACACATCACATGAGTCACATCATCAGATAACAGAGTGGACTGGAAAGTTTGACAACACAGCAGGTGGGTGAAGTCTGAGACGTTTCTCACCAGTTGGCAATAGAGCACTGCGAGGTTAACCAAAGCAGTGGCCACACTGGGGTGTTTAGGCCCAAAGCTCTTCTCTCTGATTTCAAGAGCCAGTTCATATAGTGGCACTGCCTTTTCCAGCTTCCCCTATCACACACACAGACAAACAAAGACAGCCAGCCAATTAAAAAGGGTCACAGATTCATTAATAATATTAAAAAGACAAAAGCACACAAAGACAATCATTTCAGAATGAATGTATGCATAATTGCCACTTGATTGCTACATGTTCTGCAGAGCTGATGAGTTGTAAAAACCTTAAAAAAAAAAAAACTTTCCTGTGGTTTCTCACCCTGCGTTTGTAAAGCATGGCCAAGTGTTTGAGGGTATAGGCGAGAGAGGGATGATCTGGGGCAAGTGCTCGTTTGCGGATGTCAAGCGCTCTTTCATACAGCTCCTCGGCACTCTCATACTCTTTCCTCTCGCTGTGGAGCGCAGCTAGGTTGTTCAGAGACTGGGCACAGTCGGTGTGATCCGGCCCTAGCACACGCTGGCGCATCTCCAGGGATCGGGTCAAGAACATTTTTGCAGCACTAGGTTATAAAAACCAACATGTTATAATGCATATTATATAACTGCAAATGGAAAATGTGTATTATTAATAAAGTAATGAAGTATAAGAATAGTTTGTCATACAATGTAATTTAAGCCTTTTCAGAAATTTTTCAAGGTAAATTTTAGGTACCCACTAAGTGTAATACATGAGGAAAGACATTTAAATTATTTTTAAGACAAGGGATGAGTCAACAGCAAGACAAGCTGAATAAAAAATGCAAATTCACTCTCTGACAGTAGGTGGTGATTATTGAAAATCAGAAAAATATTGGTTACCCTGGTTACCCCTGTACACAAAGCAGTGCTGAGCTTATAACACCACCTTATTAGGCATTTGCATGAATCATTTGACTGACCTATTTCAATGCCAGAATGGCTAATTTCGCTGAAAGACAACAAATTTGCAGTATGAATATAGCCAAAATAGCTCCTTCTGCAAATGTATAGTCTTGTCCCATATATATATATATATATATACAGTGCCCTCCATAAGTATTGGAACAGTAATGACAAAATTGCTTTGTCTGCTGTGGAGTTAAGACGAATTTGAAACAAAAGTACAGAATGTCACATTTTATTATTAGCCGTTTCAACACATTCATGTTTTACCAAATAAAAAGGACAGCGCTTTTAAAGTTTCATTCCCTAATCTGATGTGAGCATAAGTATTGGGACAATTGAACTTAAAGCAACTGTGAAAGTTTAAAAGCTAATATTTAGTTGCAAATCCCTTGCATGCAATCACAGCAGTGAGTCTGCCACCCATAGACATCACCAGACTCTAGGTTTCATCCATTGAAATGCTTTTCCCAGCCTTTAATACAGCCATTTTCAACTGTTGCTTGTTTTGGGGAGTTTCTGCCTTTAGTCTCCTGTTTAGCTGGTGAAATTCATGTTCAATAGGATTTAAATTTGGAGACTGACTTGGGCAATCTAAGACCTTCCATTTCTTTACCCTGATAAACTCCTTGCCTGAACTAGCAGGGTGTTTTGGGTCATTGTCCTGTTGCAATATGAAGCACTTCCTGAAGAATCTTGTGGCATTTTCTTGAACATTGGTAGCCAAGATGTTTTTGTACACTTCTGCATTCATTCTGCTATTACCATCATTCATTAAGTCATTAATAAAGTTGAGAAAAACCAGAGGCAGCCATGCATGCCCACGCCATTACACCACCTCCACCATGCTTCACAGATGAGGTTGTATGCTTAGGATCATTTTCAGTTCCTTTTTTTCTCCTCACTTTTGCTTACTCCCATAAATTAACAGTGTCCATAAAACGGTTCCAAAATTCTGCTGGCTCACCTTTGTGCTTTTTTGCACACTCTAATCTTGCCTTTCTATGTTTGCTGCTGATCAGAGGTTTGCATCTTGCTGTGTAGCCTCTGTAATTCTGCTGTGGAAGTCGTTTCATAGGGGATGGAACTCTAAAAGTGCTGATCTTCTTAGTTGGTAAAACATCTCTGTGTTGAATAACCCAATATTAAAAATGTGACATTCTGATGATCTTTTAATCATATTTGCAGATGTCTTGACTCCACAGCAGACAATTTTGTTATTACTGTTCCAATAATTATGGAGGGCACTGTATGTATATATATTTATATATATATATATA